CCCCAAAACCCCAAAACCCCAAAACCCCAAAACCCCATATAAGAAATTAGAATTGAATTCAATAAATATGGAAAAAGAGGAGATTAAAGGAGACAATGCTCCTCCTGATGATGAAAATCAGGAAATGGAACAGTTCGAAGTAGAACCAAAAACAAAACTTAGCAAAGAAGAAGTTGATAAAGCAGAGAAATTAATCAGCCAGAGGTATCCACTCAATTACCTCGCTATTGAGGAGGTCTTTACTTTCTTGCGCCCATTAATGATGTGGAGGAAGAAACAGAAGGCTAAGAAGACTTCTGAGAAATTTAAGAAACTGATCACGGCTGAAGCTATTAAGAAGAAACTCCAATCTGAGAAAACGGGTGGGTTGAAGGTTCTGACAGAGACAATGGCAAGATCTTCACACCATATGGTGCAGGTAGCTTCAAAACCACAGGAGGAGAAGATGGATCATGACCCCATGAATTTGTTTGGGATAGGCATTGTAGCTCAGTTTGATTTGATGAAGTACCTGATCTTTGCCTTCATCCTTTTCAGTATCCTATCTATTCCCATAATCCTTATTTACAGTGGATACGATGCAATGAGAGGTACTAAAAAGGAATCTTACACCGCTTCAACCTTGGGAAACTTTGGATTCTCAACTTCGACTTGCTACTCAATACCCAAGAGGATGCAATCAATGATATTATTCTGAAACACAGGATCTCTTTCTCCAGAGATAGGTTCATATGGAATCATCCCGTTTGATGCCAAGGATAGAAACGTATGCATCGACGGAATGGGAGAGACAGCAGATTGCTCGCAGCGCCTCTACAAAGACTTCGAATATTGGTATACAACTGAATGCAGTCACAAAAAATTTTGAATTTTAAAAGATTTGGATTTATTTTTCAAAGGACCAGGAGACAGGTGCAACAACGATGACTCTATTCTTTTCCTGAATGTTAAATGTTTACAAGATGTTGAAGATATTGAAGTAAAGAGGAACCAATCGTACTACATCATGTGTATTGGTATCTTTATGGGCCTCTCTCTGTTGGTAACCCTATATTACGCCCAAAACAAGCTAAAAATCAAAGCTAAATTGTGGGATCTTGATATGATCACTGCAAGCGACTACACAGTCACTTATGAGATAGATAATGACGACTATGAGCTTTTCAAAACCCAGCACCAAGATGAATCGGGGGAATCAGCTCCCCTTGCTTACATGAGTGTGCTCAAGAACAGGATTGAAAAGCAGGTCAGTCAAGCTAAATATGTGCTTGAAGAGACAGATGATATCAAAGTTGCCAATATCAACTACTCTTTTAATAACCACAAGATGATAGAACTTTTATGTGAGAGAGGAACTGCCATTGCTAATCACAACTTGGAGGAGAAGAAAGAGATAGAGAAAAAGATCCATGAACTTGAGAAGGAAGATTTTGATGAGATATCTACCCCTGCTCTCGCATTTGTCACATTTGAGACTCAAGAAGGCTATGAGAGGGCTATAAAAATTACATCCAGGCTGAGATCAGTGTTCAACCCTGCTGTAGAGCCAACCAATATTATTTGGGAGAATAGCCATTATAGTTTAACTCACATTCTGACAAGATTAGCAATTGTTGTTTCTATTGTCTTCTTCCTACTTTTGGCTGTATTCTTCATTTTCTTCTACCTGAAGAAAGGAATTTCAGTTGCAAATGGAAAGTACATGAACCTCAACTGTGATAGCTTTAATAGAAATATAGACAGTGATAGTACTAAGCTCAAATTTGCCTTAATTGATTACTATGATTTTTATGAGTCCAAACTAGACAATAGAATGACAGGAGCCCTTCAATGTTTCTGTGAGCAGTATAATGCTGAGCAAGGAGTATTCCAAACAATGAATAATGTATTCAAACACCCTGAAGTCCTTGTAGATGGAAAAGAATATGAAGCCCAAATGTGTAATGAATGGGCTACTGATCTCTTATTTGCGCCATTCTGGGGCTCATTAGTATCAATTATCACAGTTTTCCTTAACTTCTTCCTAAGAGGATGGGTGATTTCCATGGTTCATACAATTGGATTCCATACTGAGACTTCACAAACGATGGTGATCATGATCTTTGTGTTCCTTGTCCAATTCTTGAACACTACAATCCTTATAAATCTTGTCAATGCTAATCTTTCTGAAGCAGTCGGAATTTCTATCTTCAGTGGACATTACCCCGACTTTGATTTCGATTGGTATTCAGATGTTGGAGCCTCTATCATATATACAATGACCTTTAACGCAATGTGGCCTTTTATTGAAATGGCTATGGGAGTTGGAATGGCTATATTCTTCAGAATTCTGGACAAAGGACTCACATGTGATAAGTACAAGACTAGTAGTCAGACCCTCCAGCAATATATTAACTTGTACTCCGGTCCTGAATATCTTGTTCATTTCAAGTATTCAAGAATTTTGAATACAGTGTTTACAACCTTTATGTATGGGCTTGTTCTACCCTGGATCTTCCCAGTAGGGCTACTTACTCTACTGATCGATTATGTTGTAGAGAAGGTATGCATTGTTTATTACTACAAAGATCCACCTTCATATGATAATAAACTAAATGATGCGGCAATCTACCTGATGAAATGGGCACCTCTGCTTATGTTCTCAGTTGGTTTTTGGATGTTCTCAAACAGGCAAATCTTTGAGAACCATGTCGAGCTAAGCGTTGAGTCAAACCCAGTCGCTCAAAAGACAGGACATGTATTGTTCAGAGATATCACCGCAACTCCTGCTTACATCCTGTTCATCATAACTCTTGTACTATTTTTAGGTTTAGTATTCAGGAGGCTCATTTCTTATGTACTCAAGAAGACACGTTTTCTTATAAAAATTAACAATCATATCGATGAAAACCTACCTAATTACTCTGATGCTCTCGAGTATGACGATTCGATGTACCTCATGTCTATGGAAAGACATATGCGTAAGAACTACGGGGTGAAAACAGTGATGGATCAGACTCTGAGCAGAATAGTCTCTGCCAATCCAACAGAGAAACAGATCACTGGAATTGGTGTGTACGACATTCTCGCTAACATCAGATATTGAAACAAGTTCCAATATGATTACTATGACCAAGTCCTTAAGATGAACTTCAACGAAGAAAGTACCAAGATCAAGCTCTGGCTAAGTGTTGGCTTCAGGAATAAATCTGATGTTCTTGGGCATGACTCTGAAAGAAGAAACACTAATTTCACATTTGCAGGCATACAGAAGAAGATATTTGAAGGTATGATTAGCAAGGATATTGAAGAACAAATTGAAAGAAAAACACTTTTAATTTCAGATACCATAAACAGCATTGAAAGAGGAATTCAAGAGGATAGTCATGTAGATATCATCCTTGAAGAGGACGAAGAGGCCAAAGAGGATAAAGAAAAGGGATTACTTGAAGGATACGATTAAATTTACTCGTCTTGATTAAATTCAATCAGAGGAATTTACCTTGGGGTTTTGGGGTTTTGGGGTTTTGGGGTTTTGGGGTTTTGGGG